GGCTACAAAGGTGATTACCGGAATTGGGTCTTTGGCTTCTGCACAGCTATCTCTTTGAAATTAATCTGGCGACTCATGACTTGGCAGGCCTGGAGTTTGTGTTTGGATGTGTCCTTGTGTCTCGCTCCCAGACGACAGAGCCATGACTTGCTAAATATAAATATGTCAAACAAACATTCCCATGCGCGCCGGCCCCCCGACTCCTCTTGAAAACCTTATTGCTATTTCTCCTGGAATCCTTTCACACAGATTTGCTTTTTCGATTTACCATCCAGCCCGATTCGACACAGAGTTGGACGCTCGGTCTTGAGTGCGACTGATCCAGTGTGGCAGAATTGTATGGCGCAATCGCAGTCGCAGGCTCATACCGATGAGAATGGCTGTTGGTTCAGTCTTTGGAACGCTCTGGAGTCAGCGTGTCAATTTGCAGGTAAGCCCTCTTCACGTGCTATCGTGCAGAGAAACGTTGACTGCAATCAAAAGGTTTCCTGCTTTGTTTTTCTGAATGCAACCAGAACAATCGCATCCTTAGAAATCGCGGGACACAAAATATACAGAGGATGTGAGTTATTTCACCGAGGGAAAACTGCTTCGTGGAAACCGACGCTTTGGACCTCTTCTTACAGCTGCAAATAAATGTTCCATGTCCATGTTGCGTTTAGTCATGTCCAAAGGACATTATCAGAAGAATGTGGATCGCCCTTCAGCTGCACGTTCCAAATTTTGGTCTTGAGGTCTCATCCCACATCTAAGTTTGGCTTCCTAATGAGCTACACTGACGGACAAAACCCTCTCCTTGGGTTAGCCGTCACCGCAAGACAATTACTGGGTGCGACCAGGCGCCGCGCTATCACGAGATAGCGCGGCGATGCCACAGCACATGTGAAGGACATTTTCTTTCCCCTCCATATCCGTGCATCACGACATTTTAACCCTTTCACGCACGACTTATGAGAACCTACAGTCGATTTTTTTTTAGGGATTTGGGTTGCGGGGTTCATTCGTGTAGGAGAGAGGAACTTTTGAAGATCTGTCCACTGTGGTGGCCGCCATCCCGGAAAGGGTGAACATGTGTCAACAATCTTTTGGGGCACGTTGTGGTCCCTTCAATTGATCGTTTGTTGGCGCGCCGGCCCAAACAATGACAACAGCATCTCCGTTTTATTTTGAGGCCCAATGTTTGAAAGTAAGTCACTTGTGGTTTTGTTTTTAATCAACCCTTCACCTCTTTGCAAAAAAAAAAAAAATCAGTGAAAACAGAAGGAGGAAATACCGTTTGGGTCTCATATTGCTATAATGTTCTAAATACACCGCACAACGTGAACATGGTCCAAATAAGTTCTGACCCGGGCTTTACGGCTTTGAAGTGAGCAAATCCCGCCACGGGCGTTTGCCGACAACTCGTGCATGTCGAGGGGACGATTTGTGAACCGTTGACAGTCCCGGCAGGGTCGGGTGTCACCGTGATGACAGCGTAACTCAATATTTAATATCGCCGTCAAACGCTCCTGTGTATGGCTTCGGCATGACATTTTCCATGACTTGTACCTCCCACGCCCCCCCACGCACTCCAATTTAAAGACCTTTTGAAGTAATTCTAGCACCCGCAAGGGATCTGCAGCAGCACACTAAGCATGTGCCGCTCTGTCTTGGGTGCTCAATGTGACGGAAAGCCACATTGAGTCTTTCTACTCGGACGTCACGAAGCTGTCGGGCAGAAGGTTCCACGTAAGGTACGGGGGCAAGGGGCTCGACACTGTTCCGAAATGATCTTTCCGTTCACCTCTTGTCCAGCAAGGAGGTAAGACAGTTGAAGCATTTCTTGATCTGTGAAGCCTGCACTATTTCTGGCGACCAGGGCCAAGTCTCACCGCCAACAGCAAAAAAAAAAAAAAACTAAATTGTAATTGACACCCCACCCTTTGAGTCTTTTTGTAGTTGCCTCCATTAATAGTTGAAACCATAACGACAGCACAAAACAATTGAAAATCATTTCAAACTCATTTGACAGCATCACTCTGGCAAATCAACGTCTCGGATCACAGCCCGTTGTGGCTTCCGGTCCGGCCATTTCACCATTTTTTTTTTTTTTTTTTGGTCACTCCACTTTGTCCTGCCTCGTTCTTATTTTGGGTGTAATTCCACTTCCAACCACTTGTCGGTGGCGCACGCACGTGTGGTCCTCAATAACTTCCACTAACAACCCAGGCGAAACTGAACTCCTCCCCTCATACAGCAACCCCGAGTCTGTCAGTCGCTTCAACAGTCCCGTTTGACACAACTACTGCTTTCCTTTTTAGCGGTGCAGAGCAAACTGCAGTTTGCCAACAACAAATAACAACAATATTTGGAGTATTCCAAACGAGGGTTGACACAGTTGTTGTACCGCACGACAAATTCTGTTGTGTGTGACTTTAGATGTCTTTTTTGGGGGGGGGGGGGGCTGTGAGGTGATTTGTTGTCTACTTCCTGGACTTTGGAGCTCTGTGTTTGTTTGAAGGCAAAATATGTCAAAATGCAAAAATAGGTTATTTGCTCTGGCAAATAACGTCGGATCCGGACTTGAAAATGACTTGGAATCAAAGAAGCCACTTCCCAGCTTAGGTCGGGGTCAACTGATAAACCGGACTGGTCGCCAGTGAGTCACTGGCGGGGAAAAGCTCTCTGGTTTCGACGTCTTTCTTTTTATCTGCGAGTCAAGTATGCCGCATTTGGAAGCGCTCCCAAATCATCTTTTGTTTCTTGGCAAAGCGTAACGGGACGGTGTGAGAGATCCTTGCGGAAGCTTGAAGGATAAAGTCGCTCACCGCCACGAAGTCATATCTGTTGGCGAGCGATCTGGTGTGTGTGTGTGTGTGGAGGGGGCGGGGGGGGCTATCACGGGGGACCCAATCTACTCTCACCATTCCCAATTCAGAGAAGTCTCTGGGCCGCTGGGAGGAACGTGACCCCCCCGAGCCAAGTCATGCTCGAAAGGGGAGTGGAAACGTTGGATTCTTCAGGCCAAACGTTTGGATGCTGCCGCCGCTGCTGTTGCGGCCTCCTCGGGAGGGCTGCGCGCACTTGAGCGGCCCCTCCCCGGCTTCATCTTGCTCCGCTGGGATAGCAGACCCACAGCTGCAACCCCTCGCGGCATGAAAATAGAAGCTGGCCTCGCCACTTCCCGTCCACTGCCCTGTTTAACACTCTTGTTCTTTTGACCCCCCCCCCCCACACACACACACAAAGGAAATGCGACGATGATGATTATGTTCTTCCGCGCATCGCTGCCTATTTGTGGTTCGCTTCTCACAAATTCGCCAAGATGCCACGAGATGGTGCCCAAGCCTTGGCTAATAGGAAAGTAGTAACTAACTCACATTTTTGATATGTTGGGGAAAATTTGCAATTATTTAGCCTGGCTCCTCATATTGGTCGAAGGAGGCAAGGGAAAGTTTTTTTTTTTTTTTGCGTGCTATTCATGACTGTTGGATTCACCTGGCGCTTTAAAAGGGGCGGGGCTGCCACTGACAGGTGACCGTTCGCGCGACCTATAAAAAACGGCATCGCAAGTTTGTTTCGTGAGTGAAAACACTCACTTCGTCGTCGGCATGGCCCAATGGTAAGCTACGTGTGTGTGTGTCCGCTTTTCTCGACCAGACATGTCAAGTGACCTTTTGCATTCGATCATGATCGGTTGCTTTGTTTGTTGTTTGCTTTGCGATGCGTCCGTTGTGCTTTGTTTGACGCATCGCAATGCAATCAGTCAGTTGCCGTTCGCAATCGGCAGTTTAAACAGCGTGGGTTAGAGTGTTGCTGGAACGGTGGTGTCTATTTAGTTATTTTTTTGCAGAGTTGTCATGTTTGTCCGGCTGCACTGGGAGTTTAAACTGTGCACTTTGCGTTACGGCTGCAGTGAATCATGGCGCACTCCACTTCCGGGTTTGACCGTTGGGACTTGTAGTTCTTTTGTTCGATTCCACTTGATATGTTTGTGTTGTGTGGTTTCTGACGTTTAGAAAAATGAATAATCTTGACGATAATAGCACTTAGTGAAATCATGGTTGATTAGATTTTTTATGAAACGTATTGTTAAAATAAAGGTATTAATTCATGTCAATTATATACATATTTACATTGTGATGCAGAAAGAAAGATGTATTCATTTTTTTGACTGCATTTATGTGTGCTTTGGGTTATTACCTGCTCTGCTTCTGTGACAACTGCTACTGCTTCTAAATACTGATTCTGCTGCTATGACGACTGCTTCTGCTGCAAAGTGCTCCAATAAATGATCCAAAAAGTACAGAACGAGTAATCCTTCCATGCTGACCGACGATCCCTATTCAGTGGGCCGTGAAAAACGGAATTAACTGAACAATGACTCTCGTTATGTATTTATTTATTGTTTTGTTTACATCACGGCGGCACGGTGGAGGACTGGTTGGCACTTCCGCTTCACAGTGCAGAGGTGCAGGGTTCAATGCCGGCTCTGGCCTTCCTGTGTGTTTGCATGTTCTCCCTGGCGCCTACGTGGGTTTTATCCGGGTACTCCGCTTTCCTCCCACATTCCAAAAACATGCGCAGCACGCTAATGGAACACTTGAAACTGTGCCTAGGCGTGATTGTGAGCGCGGATGGTTGTTTGTCTATGTGTGCCCTGCGATTGGCTGGCCTGCAGTTCAGGGTATGCCCCGCCTACCGCCTGAAGAATGCTGGGACAGGCACTCCACCACGCCCGCGACCCTCCCGAGGAGAAGCGGAAGCCCAAGTGAATAAATGTGTCCTTGGTGGGGACATTTGTACTCGGCGACTCCTTCGTGGAAGTTTGAGGTTATGGCATGAAGTGGGCATTTCGAATTTAGAGACAAGACTGAGGGGCTGTGAATTGCTTTGCAAATGGAGGCAAGCGACGCACTCACAGAACGCGCAACACCAAAACTCAAGGCCACGAGCCTTCCAATCCACACGGCCAAGTGTGGTCGCTGGCGTTTTACCACAGGACAGTCATCGACAAACGTCCTCATCATAAATAAGTGCCCAGACGCGGATGTTTTTGTTCCTCTAGGGGAATGCAAGCGTTTGCTGCCACCTAGGGAAATTTTCCAGAAGGTCTCGCCCAGCCTGCCCGCAAAGCTCATGTTAGCACAGTGCTGTCATGACTCACGGATCCTTGTCGATGGCAGCATTGAAATCGCTTTGGAGTTAAATTCAGCACCGCTTTGGAGTTGAAGATCAAGATTAGGGGCTAAATCACTGTCACGGTTTTGGCTCCGTCTTTGTTTGTATTTTAACTCCAGCTGGATTGGAGGGCCTGACCTCCTGCTCTAATCAACCACATGTAGAAGGACTCGGACTTCAGCCTTGCCTCGTCCGATTAATGACTGATATTTCCTAGACCTCACGAGCATGCTCTTGTTTTGAAAGTGTTTGGGATTTTCAAGTCGCTCCTGAGTGATTATAGGGTTACGCGTGTTTGGATTAATGCCGTTTCGGTTTGTGCACTTTCGGGTGTCGAAATTACCTTGCCGTTTGTTTTGTTCGTATATTTGCTTTTCCTGGCCATTTGTTGCCAGCGATCTCTTTTGGGACTTTTGTCGGTCCTTCGTTTTTCATGTTAATAAATATTTTTTTGTTTCGTCGTTGATCTGAGCCTGCGTTTGTGGAATCCGCACACCATCTGGTTTGTTTTCGCACCTTGTCACTCACGGCCTGTCACGTAAATTATGAGCAAGCGAGAATGAAAAGCGTTCCCACAGCCAGACGCAACTATTAATGGCCGGACAGCCGACGGCTGACCAAATCGATCGGCAACTCTTTTGATGCTTGAACCTTAAGGCCGCCGGCAGCGCGGCCACGCGCATATTGAACGCTTTTCCGACAGCTTTTCTCTTCCTCGCAGTCAAGCAAGTGAAGCGGAGAGCTGTCAATCAAGCAGCCCAGCGCGCGCTGAGATTTGGGCCTGCAGAGAGACGGTTTAAAATCAAATTAAGGCGCTAAGTTAATCAGGTGGCACCTGCCATCTGTCAAACTCACATCCACATGCTTTTTTTTTTTTTCTCCATTTGAACGTGAACCATTTTCACATCTTGTGTTGATGACACATTCGTTTCTTTACAATTGAAAGTGGGTCGATTGGACCAAGGCAATGTTTACTTGGAAAAAAGAAATCACCATTTGTCATTGACGGGAATGCCAGCGAACAATCGTGACAATGCACCCGACTCCTTTGTTTGGATTTGACGGTGATCTGGGGTCTTGCCAGAGGATAAGATGGGATTGACTTGGGTCACTTTGACCCAGGCGTCTCGTTACGAAGTCCGTTCCGAGTCATTTTTGAGATTCGGCAACCATCTCGCTGCTGGCAGTGAATCGGATAGATCGTCTGGAGCCAATTGTAAAAAATCCAATCGACATAATTTGTATCTCATGACGGGCTGCATTACGAATCGTTTTTCTCACGCATCTGGCGACTTTGTTTTTTCGATTTGATGACCATCTGGGCTCTTGTTGGTGGAGAAAATTGGATAATTATTCCTGAGTCAATTGTAAACATGCCAGCGAACACAGTTTGCGTCTCGTCATTTCAGGAGGCAGCCGGCTATTTTGCAGCTCCAGTTGTGACGGAGGATCCGAGTCTCCAAATGAATTTGACACGGGACAGGTTGCGTCGGACGGATGCCAGTAACTCGTCAAGAAAGCGTTTCGGTCCAAATATGTCAGCGTTTGTGTTGATGGCGCACTGATTGGATTCCGCGGGATTTCCATTGGGGGGAAATGCCCCCAAACATCGTCGGTGTGTCGTTGCCAATGCAAATAAGTGAGCGTTTCCGTTGCGCCGACGACCACTTCATTGTATTTGACTTGCTCCCTCTGACCGGGGGCGGCTCAAATTGGACAACCGCCAGTAAACGTCATTCGCCAGTCATCGTTCGGCTGCGTTGGGTGTCTTTCACTAGAACACGGGTCCACTTTGACGCGCAATACAACAGGAGGGTCCGGGCGGCTTTACGTCGTCCCCCCGCGGCGTGAGCGCGCCACATGAAATGAGGTAGGAAGACATCCTCGCAGTGCCAAAAACGCACACAGGCAAGGCAAAAGCAGGCAAGTACGCAGGTGCGCAGGCAGGCGCGCGACGCCCTCCATCGTCTCACCGAGTGCGCGCACGCGCTGCGCGCTTCTCTTACCTAGGGGCTGGTGCGCGGGTTTGTATCCCTTCTCGTTGCTGCACGCTCCGCGGCCGTGGAGGAGGGCGTGCAGGGGCTTCTCTTCGCCGCTGCGCGGCAGGCATCGGAGACCCTGCGCGCACGTCCCCGTGTACACGCCGCACGCGTGGCCCTCGCTCAGCGCGCAGGTCAGGCAGCCG